TCCCAAGCCAGTTCTTAACCATCACGCCACTCGGCCGGCCCACCATTCCTTTCTTTTAACGCCAACATTTCTACATGGAGAAAAGTTTCCATTCTTCAATTTTTAAACATAATAGAACACACAGCATGAGTTCAAGTTTCAAATTATGGGAGAGCACATTCCAATATGCTTGGGTCAAACAAGCTCTGTGACAATACCGAGAGAGTTCATGAAAAAGGAATTCAACGATTTGGAAGATAATCAAATACCTTTTGGCTAGGTGGGCCAACGCATTAGTAGTAAATTATTTAATAATGCCATCTTTTAGACTTCTAATTATTATTAAAGAATACTCAGGATTATGTAGCTATACTTTCTGAGTTACTCAGACTCATTCCATTTTGAAGGCTGCAGGTAAATGTTATGTACTACAATATTCCATGAGACCATTTCCCCTTTGCACTTCCTAAACCAACATTTTCCTGAAGACATAGCTATTTTTAGAATATATTAGTGTAGACTGTCCCAGCTGGTCAGGGCTGGGGTAGCCTGGAGCTGGCACTTCTAGACTGGCCCTTACAAGTGTGAATTCTGGGGCGAGATGCCAGGGTTTAAGTATTGGCCCGGACACTTACTAATCCCGAGCAAGTTACTTGGCTCCTCTGTGCCTCAGTTTCCTTATCTGTAAAATGGGGGACATGATAAATTAGCCGCCTCATAGGGTGGCTGTGAGAATTAACATGTGTCAAGGGCCACATACACAGTAACACTATGAGATGTTCGCCATGATTTTATTATTCACACAAGTTAAAAGCAGCATGACTTCTCCTAGAACTCTGCACACAGGTGCATCAGGCTATCAAGGCTGAGAAGCCCGGGGTAGCATGTGGCAGCTTTCAAGCAGAGAGGGAGACTCACTGGGGTCTGTAGAGATGAAGAAATTGGGGCTTCGCAGTTCAGAGACTGGGGGAGATCGGGGCACCCTGTGGCAATACCTCTTTCCTCTGTGCCCACAGCAACTGACGAGCACTGTGACAGACCCCTGCACAGAAAAACTGGGGTTAATGAGTCCCCCGGCTGTGGAGACCTGCCCCAACGTGGGGGCAACCTCCCTGGAGAGCCTGCGGCTGCGGGATGCCAGCCCAGTTGGCAGCCCCTCGTCCCCCAGGGAACTTCCTGAGCCTCGAGTAACCACAGAGCATACCAATAACAGGATCGGTGAGTTGGCCTGTTGAGAGGGGTCCTGGCATGGTCAGGCTTAAGAGGACGGTGGGGAGATAGGTGCTGGGTCTTGGGCCCCCAACTGGAACCAGATACCCTGGGTCTGGAAGGACCAGCAAGGAAGAGATGTGGGTTCTCCCAAGGGCCCTTGCTTTTTGTGAAAGGGTTCAACTGTTCGTAGATCCTCGTATATCACGCCGGTTGTAAAATAGCAATAGTGGTAGTACTGACCTCATTGCGCCAGTGAGAGAATTTATGAAATAACCACATGACGCTATCTTGGTGGGGTGGCAGGAGGGAGAAGGGGCTTTCCAAGCCTGGTGCCTGCTACTATTCAAGAGAAAAGTGAATGGCACTCCAAGCTCCCAACAAGGAGCTCCTGAGGGGAACAGGAGGAAGATACGCAGTGGCATAAGACCTCCACTTGTCTGACGCATTCTGGGCCCTGTGCAAATGTCACCTCTTGTTGTCACACAACCTTCTGAAGACGAGTTCTTCTTCCCCTTTTCGCAATTGAGGAAGCTGCGGCTCAGGCGGATAAAATGATTTTCCTTGGCACACAGCTACGCAGTGGCAGAGCTGGGCCTCAATCTCACATCTGTGGGACTCTGAAACCTGGTTTGTCAACAGCACCACCTGGCACAGAGGCCAGCACTCTCCCATCCTGCAGCTGCCCTCCAACTCTGACAACCTTCCACTGTGGCCTTTCCCCGCACTCCTTGCCCCCTCTCCTACTTCTGTCTGTCCTGGTATGACCAGAATTCTTCTCTCACATTGTATACCTGTCCACATTCCACCCTCCATATTCAAACCCTCCAGGGGCCCCTGTTACCTTCAGGATGAATTCTAAGGATTCTTATTCCAGCATTCAGTGCTGGTCACAAGCTGCATTCCCCCCACCAGACTCGCCTGCCTCCTGTCATTGAGTCCTCCCACTCAGCGACAGTTTCCTGAATTTACCCAGCCCTCTCTCTCATCAGGGCTTCTCTGTGGGAGCTGCTTCCTCACCTGGAACAGCCAACTCCACCCCCTTGAGTCTATTGGGATGTCGGAAAAGTCATGACGTATTTTTTTGTTTGTTTTTCGTTGCAAAAATGCGTCATGACTTTTCCGACAACCCAATAGTTAACTCCTGATGTCCTGAGTAAACTGCTTATTTGCCTCCTCCTCCAGGGAGCCTTCCCTGCCCTTTCCACTCTCCTGTTTAGACTACATGCACCTCTGTGGCGCTCCTCCAGACCCCAGGCCACCCCTCCCAGTGTCTTTAGCACCAAACAGTGTGACTGTGTTTGTGGCCTCCCGCTGCCCCCTTGCCGGCCTGTGAGCTCCCTGGGGCAGGGCCTCAGTGGGCTCCATCTCTGTCTTCTCTGGAGGGTTCGCCGGCACTTGGATAATGCTACAGAGGCATTTGGAATTGTCCCACATAGTTCTATGACAAGCACTGGTGGGTAGAACTCTTTAGGACAGAGTCTTCTGTACCAAACGGAAACTTGTAGAATTGTAGTTTTCAGCAAGTTTTATTTGAAAAAAAAAATGTATTTTGGGAAATACCACCAAAGGCATCTCATTCAAATTTCCTCAGAAGTCCTAATTTGGTTGTTTGAGCCAATGCTGAGTGCAGTGCCTGGAACTGCAGGGGTGGGGCTCTGGGAGTGTTGCGGGGGTGGTGGAGGTAGGTACCAGGCTCCCAGGACAGTTGGGGAATGGGGCTGGGGTGTGGGCAACCTATCTGGAGCCAAGCCAGCCTATAAGACTTGCTGATAAGTGGGATGGTGGGAGGGAAGGCTGTGGAAGTCCTCTTGGGACACCCAAGAGACAGTGAGTTCTTTGTCCTCCTGACGCCACCCCAGAGGAATGCCCCCCATCTAGTTCCCCAGGGGGACCAAACTCTGGCCTGAGCTTCATCACCCCACCTCTGGCACTAGGTGGGGCAGCCCCTTTGCCCCACTTTCACCCCCATCCCACCAAGACAACTTCCTTGATTCTGGAGTCCTGGGTGAGGCCAGATGTCCAAGCAGCTTCTGGAAGACCTTCCCTCTCCCACCTTGGGGGCAGGCAGCCCTATGATGGGGGACAGAGCCAGTAGAATCAGACCCAGGGAATGTGAGGAGGGTGATAGCCTGGCCCCCAACTTTGCCTTCTTCTACCTCNATATATATATATATATATATATATATATATATATATATATATATATATGTATATATTGGATGTCTGTGCTGCTTTCTAGGTGCTGGGGACCCAGCAGAGAACAAACAGACAAGGTCCCTTAAATAAACAAAGGAATTACAACACCTGTTATGAAGAAAAGTAAAGCAGCTGTTCTAGTTAGGAGGGTCAGGAAAGGTGGCACCTGAGGAGGTGCCATCTGAGCAGAGACTGGACTGAGGTGGGGAATTGAGTTACGGAGGTATCTGGATGACGGGCGACCCAGGCAGAGGCAACTGCAAGCACAAAGGCCTGACGTGCTTTGTGTGTTCAGGACGAGCCAGGACAGAGGGGTCAAGTGTCATGAAGTCAGACAGAAGTGAGGACAGCCCCAGTTGTTAGGATCAGTCAGTTCCGGGGACTGGGGATATGGGTATTTCTTATATTTAGCTTTGAATGTTTTTAAATTTAAAAATTCTAAAGAGAGCCAATGGAAGGTTAAAAGACAGATGGGTGTGAACTACAGCAGCGTGGTTCGCAGTAGGATGAAAGGGAGGACTGCCCATCAGGTGAGGCCCCGTGTGGGACCAGGAGTGGTCATTCCTGTAGGACAGGCACACTCCCTTTGTACTGGTAAAGGCAGGTGTTTAGAATTCAGCCCAGCCCTGCTCCAGTCCCATCTCCCCACAGCATCCTTGAACATCAGGACAGGAGGGGCACTTGGTCCTGGTCCAGAGATGGCAGAGGCCAGGTAATCGTGCTATGGAAGTCCCCTTCCTCACCCAGAGCACACAGAGCCCTAGGCAGCCACCGCCAAGCGGAGCTGGCATTTAGGATGACACCGGCCTGTCTCCCCTGATCTAATTCAGCCCCCTCATGTTATAGATGAGGACACTGGCCCAAGGTCACACAGGGAGGGGATAGAATGGGGATTCCCCTGAGTCTTAGTGGGCCCCCACTTGCTGGGCTTAGAAACTTAGGGCTTTTTCTCCAGAAAGTTTGGGCGCGATTTAGGGGCTGGTTCCTGGGAGGAGACAACCCCGAACAGGGAGGTTTTGGTGGAGTCGGGAGAGGAGAAGGCCTGGAGGCTCTCTTGGTTTCCTTCCCTGAATTGCCTGGGGTCCTCTTTGTGGGGGGGGCGGGGAGCTGCACTCCCCAGCCCTCTTCTTGTTTGGAAGGAAACAGGGACTGGAGCTGGTGAGTATTTCTCAGTCTGGAGCTCCCAGNAATTAAGTCAATTTTGAAAAAAAAAAGAGGGGAGACTCACTCTACAAGACACTCAACATTCTACAAAGCTCTACTAATAAAAGCTGGATAAGGGGCAGCCAGTTAGCTCAGTCGGTTGGAGCACAGTGCTCATAGCACCAAGGTTGCTGGTTCGATCCCCATATGGGCCACTGAGCTGTGCCCTCCAAAGCTGGATTGAGGCAACTGCTTGACTTGGAGCTGATGGGTCCTGGAAGAACACACTGTCCCCCGACCCCCCCACCAGGAAAAAAAAAGATTTCTGCAAAAGTGACACTAAGGGGAAAAAAACACCACAAAACCATGTGGAGCTAGTCTAGAAACAGAACGGGTCATTCAGCAACAGACCCATGCAATTATGATTAATGATAAAAAGGTGGAGTCTTTGGCCAATGGTGTAGGAAAGACTGGCTCACTCTGGAGAAATGAAATTTTTTTTGTTTTTAGATCTCCTACATCACATATAACCTGGTTGCATTAAAGACCTAGATGTGAAATGTAAAATCGTAAAGCTAATGAGAGAAAATAGAGGAAAATATCTTTATATTCCACAGGTAGGTAAGGACCTTTTGACTAAGATCTAAATGGCAAAAAAAAATTGACGGGGTTGATTACGTTAAAAAAAAATTTTTTTTTTAAGCAAAGAACACCATGAACAAGGACACCAGACAGATGACATAATGAGGGAAAGATTTGTTATAGCTGAAAATGACGAGGGGTTAATATTTCAACTATTCAAGGAATTATTGCAAAGCTACAAGAAAAAGACAGGAAATAATAGAAATATGGTCAAAGGATGTGAATAGGCAGTTCGCAGAAGGGGAAACCCAAATGACTAACAAGCAATGAAGAGGTGCTCAAACCTAAGAGTATTCAGAGAAATGCAAATGAAATAACAGTGGATTCCACTTCACACCCATCGAATTGGCCCAAATCAGAATGTTGGCTAATGGTGAGTTTGGGGGAGAGTATGAAAAAATGGGAACCTTCTGACCTTGCTGGTGTGAGACGCGTGGCCCGTGTGGTCATCC